TCTCTCTCTCTCTCCTCTCTCTCTCTCTCTCTTCTCTCTCTCTCTCTCTCTCTCTCTCTCTCTCTCTCTCTTCTCTATCTATCTAATCTAATCTCTTCTTTCTCTCTCTCTCTCTCTTTTTTTTTTCTCTCTCTCTCTCTTCTCTCTCTCTCTCTATCTATCTATCTTCTTCTTTCTCTCTCTTCTCTCTCCTCTTCTCTCTCTCTCTCTTCTCTCTCTCTCTCTCTCTCTCTTCTCTTCTCTCTCTCTCTCTCTCTCTCTAGCTCTCTCTCTCTCTCTTCTCTCTCTCTCTCTCTTTCTCTCTCTCTCTCTTTCCTTCTCTCTCTCTCTCTCTATCTATCTTCTTTCTTTCTCTCTCTCTCTCTCTCTCTCTCTTCTCTCTCTCTCTCTCTCTCCTGTGGCGGTATGTAAGACCGGTTGTATCATCACGTTGTATTCAAAGTAATGCCTATATATCCTAACAATCAAGAGGCGCGGTGGCTAGAGGCCTAAGCTATAATGCCGGGGTTAAGCCTCTATCTTCCTCCCTGTCTCTCTCTCTCAATATTGCTTTTTTTTTATTCAACGTCACATCATATGCTCTTCACCAATCACAGTGCGATCCATTTTACAGTGATATAATATATTATGTTTTGTGTGTGTGTGTGTGTGTGAGTGTGTGTAGTGCGTGCGTGCGTGCGTGCCATGTGTGTGCAGTGCGTGCGTGCTGTGCGTGCGTGCGCGTGCGTGGCGTGCGTGCGTGTGTGTGTGGTTGTGTGTGTGTGTGTGTGTGTGCGTGCGTGCGTGTGTGTGTGCGTGCTGCGTGTGTGTGCGTGCGCGCCGTGCGTGAGTGTGTGTGTGTGTGTGGTCGTGCGTGCGTGCGGTGCGTACGTGCGTGCGTGTGTGGTGTGTGTGTTGTGTGTGTGTGTGGTGTGTGTGTGTGTGTGTGTGCGTGTGTGTGTGAATGGGTGTGTGTGTGTGTGTGTGTGTATGTGTGTGCGTCGTGTGTGCGGTGTGGCTGTGCGTGCGCGCGTGCATGAGTGTGTGTGTGTGTGTGCGTGCGTGCGTGCGTGCGTACGTGCGTGCGTGGTGTGTGGTGTGTGTATGTGGCGTGCGTGCGTGCGGGGTGCGCGCGCGCCGCGGCGCGCGCGTGTGTGTGTGTGTGTGTGTGGTGTGGTGCGTGTGTGTGCCTGTGTGTGTGCTGTGGTGTGCTGGTCGTGTGTGTGTGTGTGGAGAGAGAGAGAGATGAAGAGAGAGAGATAGCAGTGAGTGTTATATGTATGCGTGGGGGAGAGTTATTGCACCTTACGTCAAAGTCATTATACTACATCTCGGAATATGAATTCTTTCTCTCTTCTCTACCTCCATTTTTCTCTCTCTCTCTAGCTCTCTCTCTCTTTCGGCATCTACCTCTCTCCTCCATTTACTTAGTCACTTCTACGCGTTCCCCTACGCATCAGTATTTTTTATAACTTTCTCCCATTAACCAACGTCAACGAGGAAACGTCCGGTGCATCCAGCTGCAGTTATTTCACAGTGCGTTCGAAGCTGTTATTCTTCGATTTTTCCCGATCGTAATCATTTTCATTTGTCGTGTATACGCCTCACGTCTGCCATCATGCGATAACCTCTCTCACACAATGCGACTTAAATAAAAGTTGCCAGTTGGTTTCGTTACAAATAGGAAAAAACTCACGTGAAAATGTGATTATGAGGAAATTAAGCGACAGAGCGGAGTATAAAATTCTTCAATGTTTGTTCTAAATGATAGCATGTATCAATATGTAATTGCAACGATTGCTATAATAAATAATGTTCGAAAGACTATGCTAACGAAAATACTTTCATCAAACGAAACAATGCAAGGTGAATGTTTAATTGCGGTATGCGATAACATCAGGAGTCAATAATCACAATTTTGACAAATAAATAATCGCAAATTTGTGATTATTTGCTTCCGATAACATGAATATACATGATAATGTATGAATATAGAGAAATCGATTGTTTTCATTATACATTAAAGAAAATCTACTTTTCTATGCACCCGACACCTTCTCCACTCCTTTATTTATTCCGAATGGGAGCAGCTGACATGTTCACACATTGTGCCAATAAGCTTACGAGTTCGTGAGTTAGCTACTGATTCGAAACTGACCAATGAATTAAGCTATAGGCAGAATTCACAGACGATGGATTGAAAATCTAACTATATATTTGATGTATTAAATTATTCACTCCTGTTATTATGTATTTATTCCACTATTTTCGCACAGCTTGACATACATTCGTCGATTTATTAGTATGTAAATGCAATAAGGCAAACCAGTGGGGGTCGCAATATATGTCTAACTTAATTACGTCATACTCAGTATACTATTTATAAGACTGCTTTCACGTTAACCAGTGTGTACAGATGTTTAAATAGAGTAGTCAGTGGAGCTAGACTAGGGGTTGTTTTAGTGATGGTCTATCTAGACACAGCGTCGCGCATCTTGTAAACGTGTTTTAGATCGGGAGTTTTTAGGGTGACTGTGAAATGGGTGGTGAGCAGAGCGGGTGTAGACATGTGGGATTATGGCGAGGTTTTGGAGAGAGAAGAGAGATGTAGGGGTCGCGAGGAGTCTGGAGTGTAGTCGCGAGAGGAAGTGGTTGTGAGCGCGTGTGCGCGTTGCGCTGTCTTTGTGCAAGATGGACCCACTGTGTGCGAGCAGTTATTAAAGTTTATTTCGGTTACCACACAAGTTTTGGATTCCTTCTATATCATTTATTCAACGAACTTCATTTCAACGTTACATTTTGGAGCCGTGACAGTCAAAAATTCAAAAATTCAAATTCAAATTCAAATAGAGTTTATTGCACGGATAATCGAAGATCATACAGGCAAATACTGAAATAGGCTACAAGCTACAATAAAACAATTTCCTAGGCTAATAGTAATAAAAACGCGAGAAACGATGTGTCTACTGAAACTGACATGACTGCATGACACAATGTTACATCATAATACATGATAATATATATTTTTTATTTTTGTTTTTTTACTTTTTATTTATTATTTGTTTAGTTAACATAATTTAACGTTCATTTCTAACCAAAAAAACAACACTTCAAACTAGTGTTATAAAATTCAAACTCCTAAACTACACCGAATAAAATTTATGTGAGTAGACTCAGAGCTCTGGTAGCTAGACTATTGCGGTAAGTATCGCGTGGTATCGGTTGGCGCAGATAGTAACGTTTGGTATAGGAAACTGTAGGCGCCCTGAGTTCAGATGTAGGACTAGTAAAGCCCGACTGTTGGTCTAAACCTCTCTGTATTTTAAATTTTAGCTTGGGATATGTGGTGTGATTTAATTTTTTATTTGTATATCTCACCATTTATGTTTTGAGCGGATCTTGTCGTAGCTTGAATGAAACTTCGATAAAGTTTGATAGTTCGAGGAGATCGGCCACATGATTTGTGATGAATAACCATTTTATGGATGTTTGCCTAGGAATGTAAATTGTATAAATTTGTCTTCTATCTTTTTTCTGATGTGGTTGGTAGCAGTGCAGTCATAGGGTAGGTGGAGTTTATTATCTATTGACCCGTTATTGCATTGGGAACAGAATCTAAGATTAGCAGGGATGGATTGGTGACGGCCTTAATTGTTCAATCCTTAGGTTGTGATCGCTAAGTCTTAGTTTGGTTAATGCTCTTCTTGCTTGTTTGGAATATAAATTTAATAGATATGGTTCAGGTTCATATTTTGTTTTAAGTTGTCTATAAAATCTTAGTTTGTTTGACCCTCCTTTTTTTCTGTTGTCATTATTCAGGTCGTTAAAGAACATGGTGGTATATTTTTGTTGCAAGTTTCTCTTTATGTTGAGTATAGTTTTATGTAGTTTTGATTGGAATTGCACTTCCAGATTGTGTTTTTTGCCATAAGTTCTAAATAAGTATGTTGCTATTTTTTACCAATTTGTGAAAGTCTTAGTACTGCCTTCAGGAATGTCGTTGTAGAATTGAATAGATTCCTTCAGGAGGTGGTTAGGACTTGTGAATTTTGCATGGTGCCAGAATTTTGCCACTTGAAAAACTATATTGTGTAATAAGGGGAACATTCCTAGCTCAGCTTTGGCGGCTATGTTGGAAGTTTTAGTTCCGACTCCCAATACCCATTTGCAAAATTTGTTCAGAATCGTTTCAAATGGGAAGCGGTTCCATAGGCTGAACAGGTTTTGTATATTTTGTTGGGCATGAGTATCTGATTCCGATTTGATAATTTTGGAGATGAAGTCTGGACCCCAAATTTCACAGGCATGTAGGATTATGGGGGATATCACAGAACAGGAACAGCGTAATGTACGTTTTGACCGGAGTTTCGTAGTTAAAGATAGAGCGTCTTAGACTGTGCATTGCTTTTAGTGCCTTTTTTCTAAGTTCCTCTACACCAAATTTTGAGTTACCATTGTGGTATAGGTGGAACCCTAGGTATTTGTAGTGCGGTCTAGAGTTTAGAGTGGTGGAGCCGTATTTGAATTTATATTTGTGAACGTTTAAGTGGCTGTTGCTAAAGGTGACAGTCTCACTTTTGCTATGATTAAGCTCTAGTTTCCAGATGTCACAATACTGTTTTAAGTCGTTAAGAGAGTTTTGGAGGCCTGTTTCAGTCTCGCTGAATAGTACGAGGTCATCAGCATACATGAGACATTTGATTGGTTCTGACATAATTTTAGGATATACCCCATTTTTAAGGGAGTTCGGGATGTCAAAAACCTGGGTATTCTTTTGCGGACGCAACGTAAGGTACGCCACTATGTTGATCTATGGGCCATACTACGCAAGGAAGATGGAGAAGGAAAAAAACACATGAGGAGTCGCTGGGTACACCGCTGGCAAGAAAACTGGAGAGATAGAGACGAAGAACGACGGAGAGCGATCGACAGAGACGAAGAACGACAGAGAACGATCGACAGAGACGAAGCACGACGAAGACAAAGAACGACGGGGAGTGAGACGGGAGGAACAGAGCGAGACGCGGGAGGGAGAATGGTGGATACACACGGCGTAGGAACTACTGTGAGTAAGTCAGCGTGAGGGAAGGAACGGCCGGTGTTGCATCCGTGATACTGCGAGGGCAAGTCCGAGTCTCGACCTGTATGTGAGAAAGAGAGGGGGGCAGAACAGAGAAGGCAAGGCTGACAGAGCAGAGACAGAGGACGTGAAAGATATATTGCAAACTGTAATGGCAAAAAAAAAATCCAGGGAATTCTAGAATTTAATTGATGGAAAGCTTTAATCTCGTGCCGTCGAAACTGGACGTGAAAGGGTGACAGTCATATCATCAGGAATGTATATTTTTATCTGTTTTTCTTTGTTTTATGTACGCGGTATTTTTGTTCATTGTATATGCTTGTGACCGTTTCTAAAGTGTGGGAAAATCTTTTGCGTGAAACGTTATGAAGAAATTTGTTATCGTTTTCTTGAATTTGTCGTAACGGTACGTTTACACTATATTGTCACACTGTAAACACATTCTTCAATTAGAGTTTGATATAGGCCTAAAACATTTAATCGAAAATATGAAATTAGTTTTGCGTTTTTTTGGGGGGCTGCGTGATGTGTGGAAGTGACAAAGGTTGTCAGATCCACATCGGTGCTGTGTGTATTAATGGGATTAAGAGGTTTAAATGAGGATATAATGGAGCACATGGCTGGAAACGTGGTTTCGGTAATGCGTGTCGGTACACGCATACGCCACGTACGTTACAGCATAAAAAGACGCAAGAGTGAGAGTAATTGCAGCGATATCAAAATATTCACTTCCAAATGTGTTGAAGTTCTGAATTGTATGGTGATCGAACTTCATCGTTACTTGTTTTGTAGAGTATAAATATAGTTAGACATGTGGGGTTTTGGAGAAATAAGAGAGATGTAGGGGTCGGGAGTCTGGTTGTGGTCGCGAGAAAAAGCACACGCGCTCACGCGCGTGTGCGCGTTGCGTTGTCTTTGTGCAAGATGGACCCACTGTGTGGGAGCAGTTATTAAAGTTTATTCCGGTTACCACACAAGTTTTGGATTATTTCTATATCATTTATTCAACGAACTTCATTTCAACGTTACAATTGCTAGTTGACCGTTGGGCCTAACCTCGTTCGGTGCACGTACAAGGGCCGTCAAGTACCATACAGACGATTCTACCTCCACTCGATGTCATAATAGCCACTCGCTCGATGGTAAATCTTATTCATACCTACACGTCGCTCGGTAACAAACACGGCCGTTGCACTTTCGCGGTAACCACTTTTTCGCAGTTTCGCTCCATCACGCGCGGAATCTCAAACTAAATCTTCTCGCCGCATTCTGTCTCTGAATCTGATTCTGTGTTCTGAATCTTGCCATTTTTTTCCATCCCCGCAGGTCGACGGGCTCGCATATTGGTGTGCCTCGCCTGGGGACTCAGCGCTGCCTTCTCGGCCGCGCAGATCTTCGTGTGGCAGATTAGGGATTTTAGCACGCACGCCCAGTTGGACTATCTCGGCACGCAGTGCTGGAACATACTGCAGTCGTCGGACAACATTCGCGTGATCCGACTGTATTTGTTCATGAACGCCGTAGCGGCCTTCATCGTTCCGGCCCTTATCATCATGGCCTGCTACACGATTATCGTTGTGACGATATGGCGCAAAGGCAAAATGCTGTCGGCACCGTCTCACCAGGCTAGCGGGTTGTCGCTCAGGAGCGTGCGAGGGAAAGGTATGTAGCGTTATATATACGCGTTATATACGCGTTATATAGCGTGTATAGCGTTATATAGCGTGTATAGCGTACATATAGCCTATATATAGCCTATATGGCGCATATAGCATATATAACGTTATATACGCGTTATATAACGTATATGGCGTAGATATAGCGTATATAGGAGTGTAGCGTTTAGCATGACGCTACACCAGTGTGAAGGGAAAAGGTAGTAGAATAAACAAGGAGTGAATAACCAAAGGCGAAGGCCAGAATTAAAGCGGACAAGATGTATCTTTATTGCACTAGATAACACCTAAGGCGAACAGACAGGCAAAACATTAACTCACACCATGGCGTATGTGTGCTCGGGGGTTCGGTGCCGACGGGCCCTATCCATCCTCCTCTCCCTGCTCTTAGGCCCTTTATGCCTCGCTCATGCGTCCTCGTCTTTCCTCTGTCCTCCAGCAGAGCGTTTCCTACAGGTGTGTATCACCGTCGCCATCATAAATCACGACATTCAATCAACTAATACACCTGGTCCTCTTTCACGCGTCGGCGGGCAATTCAATTGGCCCGTCATCCAGTGTCCACTATAAGTCACTAATGGACATGCTAATATTTCTCTATGGATATTAATGTGCGTCATCACAGGCACTATATTGCTTCTAACACCTGCGCATAGTTGCATAAACATGTCCCAAGTGTATAATATTGGTCGCTACATGCGTTTTTCACGGAGATATAGTAATGGAACAAGTCTTATGTCTCAGCATGACAGATGAACGCTATATACTCTACATTATAGCGTATATAGCGTATATACTCTACATTATAGCGTATATAGCGTATATAGCGTTATATAGCGTATATAGCGTATATAGCGTATATACGCGTTATATAGCGTATATAGCGTATATATAGCGTATATGGCGTATATAGCATATATAGCGATATATCGTATATAGCGTGTATTCGCGTTATATAGCGTATATAGCCTATATGGCGTATATACGCGTTATATAGCGTATATTGCGTATATGGCGTATATACGCGTTATATAGCGTATATAGCGTATAGGAGATTATCCGGGGGTAATTGTCTCGGGGCGGTGAAAGTTCCGGGCATGGGGGGTCAAATGTTCCGGGGGGGTAATATGTCCGCTGGCAGGTACATTTGTCCGGGGCTTGGTAAATTGTCCGGGGGTACTCTTGTCCGTGAATAGCCATAGCGATATAATAAGCGTTATTATGCGACGTATATGGCCGTTATAAG